TGAACAAATGCTTTTGTGCCCTGAGGGGTAGATACCAAGAAGTGGAATTACTGAGTCATATGGCAGTTCTTTCCCTACTTTCCTAAGAAATAACCACATTGTTTTCCATAGGAGTTGAACCAGGCAACATTCTTGTCAACAGTGAATGAAAATTCCTTTTTTCACACAATACAGGTTGTTCCTAGATTTTTGATATGTCCATTATCACTGGTGTAAGATGATTCATTGTCATCTTGATTTGGATTTCCCTGATAATAAATGATGACAGGTACATTTTTATGTCTATTGGCCATCTGTCTGCCTTCTTCAGAAAAGTGTCTGTTCCTTTCCTTGCCCATTTTTTGAGTTTTTGGATTTTTTATTGTTATTGAACTTTGTGAAGATTTCGTCCCACTCAATTTTCTTAGTTTTAGCCCATATTTCTTTTGCTATACAGAAATCCCTTAGTTTGATAGTCCCACTTGTTTATTTTTGGTTCTATTGCCTTTACCATTGGGATCATACCATCGAAAATATCTCTGAGGTCCAAATCTTAGGTGTTCTGCTTATATTTTCCTCGGTGTATTCTATGGATTCTGCCCTGTTCTCAATGTCTTTGATCCACTTTGAATTGATTTTTTGAGATGTGTGATATGGAACCAGCCTCACTTTTTTTTTTCATGTGGTTATTCAGTCTTCCTAACACCATTTGTTGAATAGATTATCTTTACTCCTTCATGTACTCAGCATTTTTGTCAAAAATTAGCTGACCATATATATGGGGATTTGTCTTTGCATACTAGATTCCAACATATTGATCAGAGCTATCCTTATTTCAATAATAGGCTGTTTTGATCACTGTATCTTTATAGCATAATTTAAAGTTAGATGGTGAAATGCTTCTCAATTTCTTATTTCTCACCACGGCTTTGGCTATTTGAGTGAAGCTTTGCTCTCTGGGCTGGGGAGGAACATGTACGTGCATTCTAGAGCCGCAGGTTCAATCTCCAAGTGTGGCTGAGAGGGAGCCCAAAGCACCAGCTGTGCTTAGAGATTGTTTCATGCGCGAATTGCGATGAATTTGTATACTATTTTTGAGTTGTGGAATTCTAAAAATTGTTTTTATATAACGAGTGATAACTAACCAATAGAACTTTAACCTTTTGGAAAGTTTCATAGAAATACTGTACTTTCAAATAGCAGGAGGAACCTCTCCCTTTATTCCCACCTTTAAAAAAAGGGTTGATGGCCCACCTCCCACAGCACTGCCATGTTCTCCTCACCCATCAGCCCTGCTCTGCTGACTCCATACACGTCCCAGGAGATGCATCCCCGTAGCTAAAATTCATGGAAGCACTGGTTCCTGCCACTGAAAACTCCAAGGCACCCCCCAGGAGCTGGGCAGGCTGACTACTTGCCCTGCCAAAGCTCTGGCAGCCATGCCAAGCAAGTCTCAACTCCACTTCACAAATATTCTCTGCAGAGATGTCCAACTGTGAATAATTTCAGGTACCCTCGTGCCCAAGCTGAGAATTCGTTTCTCAGTGTCATGTCAACATATTGACCCAGACCATAGATCTCTGGAATGCAAGGCCACATATGTGGCTGTGCAGCAGCTCCTAATTCCTCAATACTGAAATTCCAGTAGGAACACCTCCAATTAGATGGAAAACTAGCACAGAAGCCAACTAAACTCAGTAAACAAATACAATTAACACAGAGGGCTCAGCTAGCAACGAACAGTTTGTAAGTTCTTAGACAAGGGCTTAACAACCCTGTGATCAGATATAATAATTTTCATATAAAAACTGATTTTTATAAGTATTATTTTTAATATTGGAGTTTTGTTAATCAATTTCAACTCTAAAACTCTATTACTAGTTGTGACAATCCAACTTAATCCATCCTCCACACTGAAGCTGGAATAATTATTTTAAAATTCTATTTCCAGTTGGTTATCTCAGATTGGTCTCAAGATCAGGAATTCCTTGTAGGTATTACTCAGGTTGGAGGTTTCCTTCATACTCCCCAGTTTGTGACCTAGTGAAACCCAGTGGAATAGCACTGCCCAGAGAAGGTGTGTGATTGTTTCTCCCATCCATGAGGCATTTTTCAGCCCTTCTGCTCTAATTCACAAACAGCTTTTTATACCTTGTCTCCCAGTTCCTCTCTGAGCTGAAAAGCATGGCTTATGCCCAGTTACTTTTATCTTTTCTGATGCCATTATAAATGGGATAATTTTCTTAATAACCCTTTTAACTCTGTAAGAAGTTCAGCAGATTGTGACCTAGAGAGACATTACAGTGAATAAGGCACTTGCTTTGCATGAAATGACCCTGGTTCAATATCCGGCACCATATATAGATCCCCAAGCACTGCCAAGAGAACTTGGAGCACAAAGCCACGACTAAGCCCTGAGTACCCCAGATATTATCCAAAAATAACAACAACAAAAAAAAATAAATAAAAGAAATTCAACAGATTGTGCATACTGACTTTGTACCCTGACATTTAAAACTCGTTAACTATTGCTAATAATTTTAAATGCAAAACATCTCATGAATCATGAGATTTTAAAATATATGACAAAGAAGCAAGGCACATAACAAGTTTGCTCTGCATGGTAAGTCATCTTAATTGTGCTGTTTTAAGAGTTTTACATTGGGAATTTTCCCCACCCTGCCTTCCTCCAACTTTTATTATTTCCAACATTTCTACTCATGGTTCATAATATTTATAGTATATTTCTCAGAAATAATTTTCAAAATTTTATTTTTGGCTAATACCATAAGGGACTTAGAAATTCAAGATTCTGTAAGATATTATTAATCATCTTATATTTAACTGTACATGGTCTCCTACATTTCTTTAAAGGAAAATAGGAACTATATCCCCTGAATTTGTTATATTTTTAAACAACAGTTGAATCTATAATAACCTGAGATTTGATATGTAGTATAAAGTGAGAATACAAATTAATGTGAAGGGCTAAAGAGATCATATAGTGGTAAAGGTAAAGGTAAAGGCCCTCCCGTTGATCGTCGATTTGCTCGAGCGGGCCCAGTAACGTCTCCATTGGAGATTTTGTTGTTACTGTGTCTGGCATATCGAATACTCTCGGTAGCTTGCCGGGCTCTCCAAGAGGGGCGGAGGAATCGAACTCGGGTCGGCTATGTTGGCCGCGTGCAAGGCAAACGCCCTACCCGCTGTGCTAGTGGATAAGGTTTAATCCTTACCATTACATATGGTCCTTATGAACCCAGTCAAGAAAGAGAGACTTCTGAGCACAGAGCCAGACGAAAGCCAACAACACAATTGGGTGTGACCCAAAACCAAAAATGTTTTTTAAAACTAATGTGTAGACTCCAGTAATGTACAATATCTAATAGAACAAGCTATCGTTTCAACCTTCAGAATATGAAAATTAAGGTACACTTTCCTTTGAAAAAAGTCTCCAAAAAGAAAAATATGTATTCAGAGAATTTAAGGGATTAGGGAAGAATGGTGTTTGAGTAACTAGCTACAAAGCCCAGGTTGGGAAGAAATGGAAACGGAGGCTAGGAGGGGGGCTTACAAGTAGGAAGAAAATGAAAAGCCTCAGGAGCAGCACTAGGACATAAAAAGCATTGGGTAGATCTTTGTTGACTGAACTGGAGAAGAAATCAGTGTCCAAAATAATGTGATGGGAGTGGGAGAAGAAATACAGAGCATGAAGAGACTGGTTAGAAAGTACGAGATGCCATGGGGGTGATAAAAAGGCTCAAGGTATGGCTCTCAGAGTGGGCAATCAAGTCCATTAGCTGTGAAGAGCAGTGATACTAAGAGAGAAAGAACACCAGAAGGCTCCATCTTGAGTTGGTGTGGTACCATTTATTATTTATTTAATATTTGGGTCATACCCGGCAATGCACAGGGGTTACTCATGGCTCATGCACTCAGGAATTACTCCTGGAGGTGCTCAGGGGACCATTTGGGATGCTGGGAACCGAACCTGGGTTGGCTGCGTGCAAGGCAAACGCCCTACCTGCTGTGCTCTCTCTCCAGCGTTTTAGGGTAATGGAAGAATTTTATGGAGAAGCTGATTATTTAGCAAGACAGTCAACTATTTAGTGAGTCTAGAGGAAACAGTCAACTATGAGGGTTTCCTATAAATTTCATTTAACACATTAGAAAAGGAAAAAAGATGCTAAGCAAGTATGGCTACGGCCATACTATTAATAATTGTCAGAATCCACATCTGAATCCAGGCAGTCTGTCACTCAAGCCTGTTACTGAGACATTTGTACCCCTACCTTCACGTTTGTATGTGTGCTTGGGCAGCTGTTGACACTTTATGTGACTGAGTCTTAAGGGATGGTGTATAGACTGCAAAAACGGAAACTCTGGTTTTGCTACATCCAATCTGTCTTGTGCTTGCAGCTCAGAGAACTCTGCATCTATTTTGTATGTAGGGCTTGGAAAGAGCCTTTCTTGTTCCGTAGTCACCCTCAGTTCCCTAAGACCCAGCTGGGCCAGAGGTGGGGAGAATGACTTTTTAGGTTCTTAGGTAATTGAGAGAGAGTATTTCTTCACAATGTACTGAACAGGGCTAAGGAAATACTAACTGGCTTTCTATCTTTTCTGTATATAGACCTGTGCTGGGTCCTTAGCTACATGATGAGCTGGGAGCAGTTCCTAGAGAAGCACCTACTGGAGCCAAAAACAAACAAAAATACAGTAAAATGTACTGAACACTTGTATTTTAGAATCTTCCCATACAAGCCTTAGTTAGGGACATTAAAGGTAAGATTAATGAGCACTAAAATAATAACTATTGAGTAAACAGTTGTTAGAGTTTGTACATAAGCATAAGGCCCAAGTTTCTTATTCACTGTTGTACTTCCAGCAGAGTTCAGTGCCTGACTCACAGCAAATATGCATTTGTTGATCAACTGAATGAATGAACATGAATCTTTTTCTTATTAAATTATGAACTCTTGCAAAGAAGGGGTTCTAAAATGTAGGGGAAATATATGTTCAATCACAGTAAGAAAGAGAAAGTATTTAATGATTAATAGAAGATTTATTTAAACAGTAATATATAGTCATAATTTTCAGATTTAGTACGAGATGCTAAATGTTCGGTCCAATTTTCCTTCACGGATAAGTTTTTCTTTTCTATCCTGTTAAAATAAGAAAAAAAAAAGTACATTAAAGCAATGCACTCAGTATAACTCATTGCACAACTCTGGAAGACAGCAATAAAATACTACAAGCCTAATTCCAAATTTCTATCATCCAAAGCCTACAGAGTATGAGTGTGGAATAGTAATTGAAGGAATAAAGAAATGATAAAAATCACCCTCATTGAAAAACATCATACCCACATTTTAGTAAATAAATCAAACAATCCCACTACAAATTAAATGTCGAGAGAAAATGCAACATCTTCTGTGGCCAACCTTTCTGCTAAAGAGCTCATTTATAAGGCAATCAAAATATCTGATAGAAAGAAAAAGGAAGTAGACCAGCTGGCTTAAAGAAGAGCGAGCAAATGGGCCCCAGTCTAGATGGCAACACAAGGCCTGTGGCCTTAGTCTAGGAGTCTAGTACCAGAGTGTGCGAACAGCTAATGTCAAAGCTAAGCTTGGCTTTCTCTGCAGTCGTGCACCAGAGCTATAATGTGGGTGAGTCCCGGCACAGGCTGTTTTTGTTCTCGACTAGCATTTTAATATATCTTATCACCAATGTACAAAACATGACTAACAGAACTAAAATTCCCGCAAATAAATGATTTATGTATTCTATTGGTACTTAACCCAATAATAGCTAAATACTAAAAACTGATATAACATCTAAAGGTTAATCATAATAGAAAATATATTTAATTCTAACATAATGAGAAAAAGAAATGAACTCTGAATTATTTTTGAATGCTTCTGTTTAACATTCACAGCATAATTTCCTTACACTATCTAAAATATGCCAAGAAAACTCCTTCATGAAATAAGTTCAAGTTGTACAAAACTGACCAATTATTTATTTTTGGTTTGGGGGCCACACCCAATGGTGATTACTCCTGCTTTGTGTTCAGGGAATGAATCACTGCTGGTGGTGCTGGTGGTCCTGGGGAACCCTGCATGTGCATGTGTGTGTGCGTGTGTGGGGGGGGGGGGGAGGTAGGGAAAAGGGGAGAGTGGTATACCGAGGATAGAATCTGTGTTGGCCTCGCACATGCAAACACCCTAGCAGCTACACAGTCTCTCCAGTTCCTCATTAATTACTTTAAATTCCAGAGCTGTCATTAAACTGGAAAGACTAACAGACTGTCCTGATTTTTAGCAAAATATAATTCATTATGAGTTGAAGTAATAAAGCAGTAAAACTGAAAGGAATAAAGAAGAGTGGAATTGAAGAGAAAAACAGAAGACCACAATCAAAGGTGAGCCTGTGGTGATTACCAGAAGAGTTTCATAAAGGGATCAAAAAAGCATTAAGCATCACCTTCTAATACTTACTCTGTCCGTCTTAAAAACATAATACCAGAAGAAGAGGGGCCCGATTCCAACCAGAGCTCCTAAGAGTGAGGTCTTGGGAGTGGGTTTGAAATTGGGGTAGATGTTTGCTGATCTTGCATAGGTCCAACGATGCAGGGCTGGGTCTTCCTAAAAATGAGAACAAAATGCTCCTGATACTTAGAAAAAAATGTACCAGTACCAGGTACACCAGGAAACAATCTCAGCAGAATTTTTGAAGAAACATAGTAAATTCTTTTGCTCTCTTCTATAGTTAAAAGAAACCTATGAATAATATAAACAGCTTCAGGAAAGATCTTTCATTACTAGTACTTAATAATTCTCTGATGATCTTTTTTAAATCCTGAAAAAATTAAGAATCTTACAGCATCCTTTGGCTACTTTGGGGATAAATTTCATATATATCTACATATATATCTACAAAAATATGCATGTATATATTAGAGACTTGGTTATATTTATTTTATTTACCTATTTTTATTGAATCACTATGAATTACAAAATAACCAAATTATTTATGATTGAGTTTCAGGTGCGCAATGTTCCAACACCAGGCCCTCCACCAATGTCCCCAGTTACCCTCCCACTCTCCAGTTAGGGGTTGAATTCTTAAGCTTGTCAGAATAGCTATTTTTACTCTGTGACCACTTAAATCTACTTTTTAACTGTTTTTACATTTTTTAAAATGAGATCAACAGAACCACACAGTAGCACTGTAGCACTGTCCTCCCGTTGTTCATCGATTTGCTCAAGTGGGCACCAGTAACGTCTCCATTGTGAGACTTGTTACTGTTCTTGGAATATCAAATATGTCACGGGTAGCTTGCCAGGCTGTGCCGTGCAGGCGGGATACTCTTAGTATCTTGCCGGGCTCTCGGAGAGGGGCGGAGGAATTGAACCCAGGTCGGCCCGGGTTGGCTGTGTGCATGGCAAATGCCCTACCCGCTGTGCTATCGCTCCAGCCCAGAACCACACAACATTTCAATTAAAAAAATTATATATATATATAGGCAAGCTACCGAGAGTATCTTGCCTGCACGGCAAAGCCTGGCAAGCTACCCATGACATATTCAATATGCCAAATAGAGTAAAACAAGTGTCAAAATGGAGACGTTACTGGGCCCGCTCAAGCAAATCAATGAACAACGGGAGGACAGTGCTACAGTGCTCTCTCTATATATACATATAAATACATATATGTGTGTGTGTGTGTGTGTGTGTGTGTGTGTATATATATATATATATATATAAAGAGCCATAGAGATAGTACAGTGGATAAGGCACTGGTCTTGCAAACAACCTCTGTTTAATCCCTGGCCCCACATATGGCCCCCAAACTTCAGTCCCTACGGGTAGAGAGAAGAGTAAACCTTAATCAGGAAGGGGAGGGGAAAGGAGGGAAGGAGGGAGAGAAGAAGGGAGGGAGGAAGGAAGGAATTGATTTAACATGTTCTATCATGCCTGAGATTGTCTCCAGACCCTTTCTAATGCTGCCCTTACACTGGCTTCCAGGTGCAAAGAGGCTGTAGAAAAGACTGAGATCAGCCAACCCTGAACTTCAAGTATTTTTAAGCCACATATATTAAGAGCACTATTATTACATTTCATTTTACTAAAGTAGTTTTTAAGAAAAATAATCAAATTTCCAAGCTTAAGGAAAAAGCATTTTGTCATTTTAATAGTTTTACTAGAATAATTATGTGAGAGCAAATCTACCCCAAACAAATCATTTACTTTAGCTAAATCACCAAATTATTTTACAAAAATATTTGATCCAATTAACACATAAAAATAAACAAATCAGTTTTAAACTTTCAGTATTTAGCTGTGAGGAGAGCATTCGAGGTCTTAACCAACACCAAGAAGTAAAACTGAGTAATAGTGGCTTTCCCACAGTATAATCATAAACCAAACTACAGAAGCAGTAAAGGAAATTGAGGCACAAGACAGAGGTAGCAGAGGATGTGTGAGCTCCATGTATTTTGTTTCATCCCTTGCATTTTGGGGGGGTGGAGACGAACATCTGGCTGTGCTCTGCGCTTTTTCCTGGCTCTGTGCTCAGGGGTCACTCCTGGTGGAACTCAGGGAAGTATATAGGGTGCCCAGCAATAAAATATGGGTTGGGCACGTACAAAATAACAGCCTTGCCTGCTGTACTCTCTCTCTGGCTCCTGGGACTGTATCTGAATGGCTATACCAAATAATTTGCAAGCTGCCCGTCAATTCTTGACACTTTTAACATTTGACCAATTGGTCTTCCTGAAACAGACATCCCAATGAATATACCCATTGCACCATGATCACTGACTGATCACTTGGGCCTGGCTTATTGTTCAGAGACAGTATTGTTCAGACAATATTGTTCGTCTTATTGTTCAGAGACGTTCTAAAAAACACATCAGGATGGTTTCATTCTTTGAAACCATCCCATGTCCAAAGGGCTTAGAAACAGCATCTGACATGATGAACCATCTTTCTCTCCCTTAGGCTTCCACAGAACAAACCTGTTTGGTTTTCTCTAGTAAGTACTCCTTCTTAGTTTCCTCAAGATCCTTCTATTTTAATACTGGACCTCAGACCTTGCTGGTCTGTCTTATACACAAGCACTCTACTGATGTTCTGCATCCCAAGTCATATGGCCTATAACCACCTTAGGGCTGATGAGCGTCACAATTAGACCTGATCCTGCACTCCAGCAATACGGCGGCATTCAGTCTAATGGCAGGTCAAATATCTATACCCCAAACTGATTTTTCAATATCCCATGGCCCCTCCATTGTGTGCTCCTCTCAGAATCATTTCTATCATGAAACACATGAGCCCATTCATTCTGATATTAAGTCAAAAGTCATGGAGTCATCCTTAATCTCTCTTAACACCCCATATCAAATCTGACAGGAAGCCCCCATCAGTCAGGAGATTTGATTACCATAAGATTGCTAAGTATATTACTCCTGTTCTTGCTCCCAAATAGTCCTTTGAATCAACCAAACAGCCAGAAAAAAACTTTGTAAAGACACACATATTTTTGGACTCCCTACTCATTATAATGACCTAAAAAGCTTCATGTGTTCTAGTCCCAGAGGTGCCTTTATGATATTACCTTTCCAGGCTGTTCTCATCGGTTTGCACAATGCTCTTTTCAGGATTTCTGTAATCACCCAGGCAAATGTTCTATTGCTCAGGAGGTGGGGGGAAAGGCAGAGTAGAGGGAGGTGGGGAGACACAACCCCCCAGCTATGCTCAGGGCTTACTCCTGGCTCTGTGCTCAGGGCACCACTCTTGTCTAATGATGCTTGAGTCTGGCTGACTCTGCTACCTAAAATGCTATCTTAGCAGAGAGCTATACCACCTTATTTCTTACAGGTCTCCCCCATGCCTATGTAAGACCACGGCTGCTCTTTATTATTTGTTTAGGCGACAATATATCTATTATATACATATATATGTGTGTGTGTGTATGTATATCACTAGAGCAATAGTACAGCATGTTTGCCTTCTAAGTGGGCAACCCAGGTTTGATCCCTGGCACCCCATATGGTCCCCAGATCCCACCAGGAGTGATCCCTGGATACAGAGCCAATAGTAAGCCCTGAACACCACTGGGTGTGGCCCCAAATCAACAACCAAAATAAAAAATATAGATATACTGCCATCATATTTAAGCTCTTGTACAAAAGATGTAAGAGCATGCTTGTTAAACTCTAATAGCTATCATTTTACTGAGCATGCATTATGTGCTGACGACGTTTTGTGAATCACTTCATTCAAGCTTAAACCTTATGGTGATTCTACTTATGTAAGGATAAGAAAAATCAAAATCAGAGGGATCGGACAAAATCAGAGTCTGTAGGCATGTGGTGCTTTAGGGATTAGACTCCTAAGCTCTATGCTTTAAAATACGTCAACTGACCACATACTCCCATCTGGAAATTCACTATAAAAGTGAAAGGTGGGGAAAGTCTTACAGAACCAGCGGCAGAAAATAGCTTTTTACACAGAGACACCCATTAAACCCTTCTCGCCGGCTCTCTATGAGGGTAAACACTGTAACACTCCTTGCTTTCGTAGAGGAAAACCCATCGACCCTCTACCTCTGCGAAGTTGGAGGGGGCGGAGGGGAGTCACGTCCTCAAAAAAAAAAAAAAAATCATCCCAACCGGAAGTGACGCGCCAGGCCCGAAGCGGTCAGGCGCGACCTGCCCCCTTGGCCACCGACCTCCCGCCCAAGGTCAAAGGGCTCGGGAGCCGGCCCGCTCCCTAATCGCGGCGGAGAACCCACGTCCACGCGAAGGAGCGGGCCGGCGGCCGTCCCCGAGGGTCAGCGCGGCACCGACCCCGACGCCCGCCCGGCCGGCCGGCGGCGGCCCCCGACTCACGATGAGCCCGTGGCGGCCGGGGTTGTTGTACTGCAGCAGGTACTCCCGCTTCAGCCGCGCCCTGATGGCCAGGCGCTCGGCCTGGGCCTTGCGGGCTTCCGGGGAGATGTCGTACTCGGCGGCATCGAGCGTCGTGGGCAGCGTGGCGAGGCGCGCCGGCCGGTACTCGGGGAACGACATCTTGGCCCCGCGCTGGCGCCCGCGCCGCCCCGAGCCCCGCCCCCGCCCCGCTGACCTTCCGCCGGAAGCAGTGCGCCTGCGCACGAGGCGGCGCCCCGAGCCCGCGTGTGGGGCGGCTCTCGGCGGTCTGCGGTCCGGGCGCCCGCGAGCGCCGTGCGCGTGCGCAGTGAGCAGCGCGCCGGGCTCGGCTCCGTTTCTCCCCACCCCCACCGCCTTCTCCCGTGCAGTTTCTGCAGCTGCGGCTTCTTTGCAGCTTTAGCGCTGCCGACCAGAGGCTAATCTGTGAGGTCGAGTTGTGTGGAATTCCGACGCGGGACGCCTGTGCTACATACAAAGTCGTTTGTTTTCGTGTGGGATCGCACGCCACGGTTTGCGACCTTGGCCAAGTCAGTTAACGCTTCTCAGGTTTCCTTGTGTGGGAGAAGGCGAACTCCGTCCTAGGAACCTAGCAAAATAGTTAGGAGGATTAAATGAAGTCGTTAGTCGTTGCCAAATTGCGCCGCGAAGCCTAGTTTTCTCACCGAGAAAAAGAAGAAGCCATAAAGTGCAAAACTACCTTTGGCCAATAAAATTTTAAGTAGGACCATTGTTTTGGTATAATTCTGATCTGTCGTGTAAGAGAAGCTTACAAGAGAATCGTCTGACTGCAGTAGGTTAGGGGGAAATGAGATACTGAAAACAGAATGAAAACATCCTTAGGGACATGAAAGTATCCATAGCGGCATGTAACTTGTGGCAGATGATTTGAGGAGAAAAGGTGACTCAAAATGAATCTTTCATCCTCTCCCCTTTCCTCCCTCCCACACTCCTACCGATGTAAAAGGCAATTTCAAGTCCAGAAGTAGAATCTTTAGGTGTAAGTCAGATACTTCCTCAGGGGAAAACATACAAAACAAAGATTCCATCACTCAGCAAAGAAAGCCAGATCAGAAGGAAGAGCTCCTGCTCGGATGAAACGTCTAGGGACACGTAGGTATGTTGGGAGAATGGTTGCTAGGCAGAGAAAGGACCTAGAAAGTGTTGGCACTTGGAGTGATGAGGAGCAGCACTGCTGTCAAATTTATTCAACATTTTAATACTGTTTTTAAATATTTATTAAGCACCCACTGTGAAGCATACTGCACACTAGTCAGTCTTACTCAATCCTCCAGGTTTCATGGGGAATGCAGAGAAATGAATGATGTGATGTTTGCCTGGAAGAGTTGACAGGCAATCGACAGAAAAAACAGAATATGATAACATTTGCAACCCAATGTGTTGTCCGGATGAGTATCCAGCGAATAACCTATGCAAATGCAGTCTGAAAGAACACAGAATACAGAAACAGACAATGAAGAAACACTCCATTTAAATTTTTTAATATTTGTAAATTCACTTTATTAGAACTAATAAATTTAATTGCAAGGCAGTCCAAAATCATGATTTTAAGAAAAATCAGCACTTTGGTTGAGTAACCACCCTGGAAACTTGTCTTCTAATATTGAAATCCACAATTGTCCCACGGGAAAATAAGAATAATAGCCCAGGAATTGCAGCTATTATTCCACCTAAGCTCAAGTAACCTATATTTTGTCTTTGGTTAGCTAGCATGTACTCTTTCTCAAGAAGAGCTTATTACTGAGTCATTTTGACGCTCTTCCAGTGCACCACATAGAACATTGGTTTTCATTATATTCAACTCTTCTGTGAATGTTGACTCCAACACTATCCAAATCAGTCATAGGTAAGAGCACTTCAATGTTTTGTTCTGTTTCTTTTTTAACCTCTCACGTGATGCTCAAGGGTTGACTCCCAGTAATACTCACCATGCCAGATGTTCTATTAGGGTCAGAGAATGTAGTGCTGCTCAGGCCCTGAGGTGCCAGGAGCCACCAGGACCACCTTGATGGTATTCTACCCATACTCTATACTGGGTATGGCATAGAACCATACCCATACTGCTCGGAAGTCCTCCACGCAGTGCGATGTGAACAGGGGCCATACCTTAATACCTCTGCTATCTCCCTGGCCCTGAATCAACATTTTTACATAAAAGATACATGTAAGTCACAGAAGCTTTTCATATTTAGGAAAGTCTCACCTAGAATTACTTTGTGGGAGGTGGTTGACCCGAGTACTTGTGAGTTCATTCTAGTGTAGTACTCATGGTACTGTGTGGTACCAGAGATAGAATCCACATGCAAAACATGCACTCCAACCAGTTGAGCCATCTCCCCTGTCCCTAGAATCTTTCTTTCTTTCAGGAGAGGTATTTTACTCAGCAGGGCTTTGAGATTATACAACCCTGTCCATTACAAGCATATTAGTTTTATAAATCTTGCTATATCATGGGGAAAATTTCTCCATTTTTATTATATCCAAAATTGTCTTAGCTACTTTGGTTCCTTTTCTTTCAGATTAATTTTAGTATTAAGTTGTCAAGTCCCATAAAAAAAATCCACTGGGATTTTAATTGAGATTGCACTAAATTTATAACTTGATTTAGGGAGAACAGACTTCCTCATAACATTGCATCTTCCCATCCATGATCATTACTCAGGAATTCTTTTATGTCTTTCAATCAGATTTTATAACCTTCTACATAAAGAACTCTGGCCTCTTTATTAAATTAATTCCTGCTACATTTTCACTGTCATTTTTATTCTCCTCTTTTGCCTCTTAGATTTTTTAAGTGGTTATTACTGATGTTTAGTAATACTGATTTTTGTATACTGTTTTTAGAGACAATATCCTGTTGAGATTTTCTTAGTCCCATTAACTTTTCTATACATTTTTTATTGTTCTGTGTAGTCAGTCATATCCTGTACAGTCTTTTCTTCCCACCTACCAAAATACCAAAGTGCTACTTTCTCTCTCTCTCTCTCTCTCTCTCTCTCTCTCTCTCTCTCTCTGTCTTTCTCTCTCTCTGACTGATAGTACAATGCAGTGTAATGGTTTTAGAAGATTCCATTTATTATTTTACCATTAAATATATTACTCTACTGCAGCACCATTTGCCAGGTCTTAGCAATGAACCCTCAGTCCCAGCCAAATATTGCAGTGAGTGATTGCCTGGCCCTTGAGTACTGCCTCCGAGGTTGTGTAGGTTGTGTGTCTTGTGTGTGTGTGTGTGTGTGAGTGTGTATGTGCATCCATTAGAGTTTAATGGATACACTTTGTGAAGAGTATTTCAACATTTTTAAACTTTATCAGATCAAGAAAATTCCCTTATATTCCTTGCCAGAAGTTTTTGTAATCGTGCATGAGTATTTAGTTGACCAAATGTTGTTTTCACATTTTTTGGTTTGCTGTCATATGCTTTTGTTTCATGTTAGTCTGTTAAAAAGACTGAAAACTTTGCTTATTTTTCCTGATGTAAAGTCATTTTGCATTCTAGAATTAACTCTGCTTCATGACCTATATTAATATATACGTATATTAATTAATATCCAATACACATATTAATATGTATATATTAATTACATAACATGTATATAACAGATACATATATTAATCAATAATTAATACATATATTAATATGTATATATTTATTTTTAGCATTTTATTTACATTTCCTCTTTAGTTTTTGTCTTAGGATGTCTAGTTTCATGAAATGAGTTGGATAATTTTTCCTTTTTTCCCTGACTCTCCAACAGTTTGTAAAATTTTGGAGCTCTATTTCTTAAAAGCTTGGTAAATTATTTTCTTAAATGGTATGGGTCTTCCATCTTTCTTCAGGAGAGATTTTTGACTCCCAGTTCAATTTCTGTAATGAACTCTCAGACAATTCCTGACTCTTCTAGAATCAATTTTGGTAATTGACATTCTCTCAAAAAATTTTTGTTTGTTTCTTTTTGTTTGTTTTAAGCCAACCATAGTTTCTAATATTGTCTTTTAAATTTTCACTGTCTTTATAATTATTACCCTCTTTTTCTACTATCATGGTCACGGTCCTCCCGTTGTTCATCGATTTGCTTGAGCGGGCCCAGTAACGTCTTCATCATGAGACTTGTTGTTACTGTGTTTGGCATATTGAATACGTCACGGGTAGCTTGCCAGGCTCTGCCGTGCGGGCGAGATACTCTCGGTAGCTTGCTGGGCTCTCCGAGAGGGGCTACTACTATTTATTTATTTATTTATTGCTTCTTTGTTTTTTAATTTATTCATCTTCCTAGGGCTAGAGTGATAGCACAGCGGTAGGGCGTTTGCCTTGCATGCAGCCAACATGGCCGACCCGAGTTCGATTCCTCCGCCCCTCTCGGAGAGCCCGGCAAGCTACCGAGAGTATTCGATATGCCAGACACAGTAACAACAAAGTCTCCAATGGAGACGTTACTGGGCCTGCTCGAGCAAATCGATGATCAACGGGAGGGCCTTTACCTTTACCTTACCATCTTCCTAGAGATTTGTGCATTTTTTCCATTTAAAAAATGATCTCAAATCAGTGATTTTTAACTCTTATACATATATCTTCTGTTTCCTCAAGATAAATATTCTTTTCCAAGATTTTGCTGTGGTTGTTGTTAGTTGGTGGAGCTCCGCCCAGCATGACGTGAGGCCTCTGGGCAGACCACAAGCTGAGGTGCGTGCCCTGTGTTCTGCCGGTGAACCTGCACCCTGGGCCCCTTTTCTATTTACAAGTGTATTTATCTCAGTCATTTCTTTTTTTTATGCTTGATGATTTTTTCTTTTGTTTTGAGGTGCCTCCTAAGCAGTGCTCAGGCGTCCCTCCTACTTCTTGGCCAAGCAGGCAGTTCAGTAATAGGACCCAAGGGTGCGGTGCTGTGGTGTGCATGTGCCCTGTACTGGGACTGATGCCGGGACACTGCTGGGGCCTTAACCTCTGTGCTGTTTCCCCAGCCCTATGTTTCATCATGTTTATGCATCTACTTCTGCATATTTATGTTAGCTACATCTCTAGAAGTTTTATTAGTATTTTAATTGTCACGTAGTTATGAATATATAATTATTTTTCATTTAGCTCATGAAATGCAGTTTTCATTTTGAAAGCTGTTTTTTATGTTTTCCATCTCTGTATTAATTCTAATTTAATAAT